TATATATATATATATATATATATATATATATATATATATATATATATATATATATATATATATATATATAGATAGATAGATAGATAGATATAGATATAGATATAGATATAGCGTAACATCACAAGCATAAAATACAATATTTGTATTATTTGATTTTATTTATTTGATATTATTTATTCATTTTCAGGAATGATATAAATTTAAAGTAAATTTTAACATATTTTATGACTATTAATGGTCTATTTATTAAAGCTAGATTACCGTCCCTTCTGCGCATGTGTCAAAAATGTAAACAAATGTGAGCATTAGAGGTATGCAAATCCGATCCGAAACCGATCCAAATCCGATCCGATCGGATTCGTTCGGATTTAGGAACCAAAGTATTCATTTCGTATCGGATCGGATTGGATTGATAAAGTTGTTTCGTAGTCGGATCAGATCGGACTTCGATATTCGAAATAAAGTGAATTAATTATACCCACGCATTGTCGCAAGAATGAATTATCCAATATCCATACATTTATCAAAGCATCACCGCGGTTGTCGTTGCGTTATTCGTTTAAGATAAGATAAGATAAGTCTGATAAGAGACTTTATAAAAAGAGGATGACACTTGACAGTACGAATACTGATGACTCCGTGGTCCTCTGGTAACGTTCTCACAGTATTTCTAAGTCTAAGGCCCGGTTTAGACGGCGAACTTCTCATGCGCCGAATCTAATGCAAGAATTAAGTGCGACGCTGGAGCGGCGTCTAAATCAATTAAGTTCGACAAGTTTTGATTAAGTTCGAAATGACTCGAAGATGCGACAAGACAAGTCGTATATGCGACACAGGTTCGACATTGATTTAGACGCCGTGCTTTTCATGCGCCGAACCTAATGCATAATTATTTTTTAACATCATAATATGATTATCATATATTTGCATTGTAAGTATGTCCAATATCGTGTCCTCGCAATTTGGTACGGTACAATTAAGTTCGACGTCTAAATCAGCTTCCGATATTTTGCCGTATCTACTACAATTAGATTCGGCGCATGAAAAGTTCGCCGTCTAAACCGGGCCTAAGGATATTAAGATATATACATGAAGTAAAAAATCGTTATAATAACTTAAAAATTAAAGTTAATTGTTTTAGAATTAGGAAAGTTTTTTAGCATCTAAAAAGTCCTTGTATAGTCTATGTTTAAAACTATATAGGGTTGCAGAATTCCTGATTTTTACATTAATGGTATTCCAGTCTTTGATACCCCTCACTGCGAATGTTTTTCCACCTTCCGTTATTCGGTTGTATCGGGGGCATATCATGTTAATCTTGGAAAAACGCGTTTCTCGATTGTGAATGCCAGAATTTCTCACCAGCATAACCCATTGAAGAGAGTTTTCGAGGGCGTTGTCTTTTCCGCGCTTAAAATAATCCTTGCTGCCCTCTTTTATAGTTTCAGTCTGATGACAGATAGGTATGCTTCGAGTCTTCGACATAATCATTCTTGATCGTTGAGTTTGAGCAATGTAAATGAAAGGAATTTTACAGTCCATAACGGGGTTTTAATGCTGTGCTTTCACAGTCAAGATAGTGCTATTAGGGGCTTCGGTGGCCAAGTGGTTAGCGCACTTGCCTTTCACCTCTGAGGTTCGAGTCTCACTAAGTACCTTTCCTTGGAAGTGAAATATGATCCAGCTTCTCGCTTGAAATGTACCGCAACACTTATTATTGATGACATTCACAATAACAGGAAGTCGTGTCATGATGAATACGAATTATTTGAAACATTTCCTTTCATTGAAATTGTAAATATGTAAATGCGAAACCAGTTGCAGAGAAGGAGAAAACAATTCGATTTACTTTCGCTTTTGCAATTTTTTGAAACGTCGAGTAGTATAGACGTTGTATGAGGAGCCAGTTTTAGATATGGAACTCTTTTGGTAAACAGAACCGGCGATGCTGCAATATTTATGGCACAAGCTTACCAAGATGTATTAAACAAGTTGATCAGCCGATTCACAATTAGGTTCGACCACGTATGATCACGATAGAATGAGTTCCGCTGCACCTAGCAGCTCGGGCGAACTTCTGACAAGCCCTGAAAGTGTCTCGACAAGCCTGCTAGAAGGTATTTTATGTTTTTTACTTCTAGTGCTGATTTCTGGGTAGATTCGTAATATAGGATTCCATGCAGCCGGGCCACAGTGTCGGACTGAACTCTCTGCTTTATCATAGAAGAATTAGGAATATTGCATTTTAATACTTTTATGGCTATATTTTACATTTTACGCTTTTATATTTTATAGTTTCAATTTTGGTAATGTTTACAGTGGCTGACTATACGAATTTACAGAACTATCTGAAAGTGAAAGCGGAAATTTGTGGGCTATTTATTGCATGCATGCTCGACTTCATGGAACATTTTATGCAAATTTCCTTGAACTTACTCGATCTCACTTGTCAACAAGTGAGATCTCGGTACATGGGAAAACTTTTTGTCTCATATGAACACGGTGTCGGTAACTTTTCATATTATTTTCATACTAAGGCAAGATCTCCCTTGTAAATGTGTTGAAAAGTTACAGGCGGATTGAAGCTAGACTGGAAATTCACTGAATTATATACTGAATGTCATAGATAGTATTGATGTTTTGTCAGTTTGTTTTTGAATGTAACTGTTAGACTAGTTTACAAAGACAAAGTTAATTTATATATCAGGATATTTTGGGCACTGTCTCACTCAATTGGACTAAAGTTGATGGGTTTTGTAGATGGAAATATCGATGGAAATTTTTTACGTGCCACCCTAGACCTAGTATATATACGTGAACTTGTGGTTAAAGTTCAACAACTGGACTCTGTAGCTTGGTTAGAGCGCTGCACTGGAATCTCAGGTTCGATTCCTGCCAGAGGGGTTATAGTTGCATTTTTTGCCGCTGCTCCTGGGTAGATCTAAATAAACGTATAAAATGTATACTCCATATTTCCATCTACAAAACCCTTCAGTGTTAATATAAATCAGTGACTGAGCTTTTAGCCACATAATAAATATTTATTTATCAAGCTTGTTCGGCCTCGCCTACTGCACAGTCCATTCATTACTACAATAGCGAAAAGGAACGCAATCAATATCCTTCTGTCTGACCATACACTCGGTTAATGTCATAAGGTGATTGTGCCTCTCATGTCCAAGAGGCTGGTGTTTGTAGAGTTGAACCAAAAACTAGCAAGGTGGTTGTGGTTCTCGGCATGGTGGAAAAAGTAAACAACCATGCAAACGGAAATAAAAGATTTCTCTCATACCATTACTTATATAAAAAAACCGGTTCTAAATAATTGTTTTTAATTACACCTTTTGGGGCCCTTCTTTTGCAAATTTTGGGGCCCTTTAACAGGGGCCCCGGGGCAAATTGCCCCGTTTTCACACCCCCATGCCAGCCAGAGGCTGGTTGCAGTGCTGGTGAACAAGAATGTGGAAGCTGTGGTTTTTAGTCATGTTGAACAAACAAAACAGGCAGTTAGAAATCCTGTAATTTCTGATGTTTCAGAGGCTCGTTGCAGTGGAGTTGACCCAGAAACTAAGAACAAGGTGGTTGTGGTTGCTACTCATGTTGAACAAACAAAACACGTTGAAAATCCTCTTGCTAAAACAGACATTGAAGTTATCGAAAACCTGCAACAGTTTGCTGCAACAGGATCTGTTGAGAAGACGAGGAATGAATGCAAGGAAAGTGAAAGAAGGGCTAGGGATGAAGAGGAAAGTGTTAACATATCAGCAGAACTCAGAGAGAAGGATAATCCCGAGAATTTTTTTCCAAGTGGCAGTGAATCGCCAAATTCACAGAACGAAAAGGTACAGTAAATGCACAGCCATCATCAAGTAGAGCTTTTTCCTATACTTACCTGGTTTGGACGTCAATCGGAGTAACCAGGGGCGTACCGAGCGGGGGGTGTGGGGGGTGCGAGACCGAAACTTCGTCGGTAAATCCGAGATTATGTACGAAAAACGTAATCACTTGTAGGTAAATTGATTGGAAATGGTCGGTAAATTGAGAATTTTTAACCCCCCCGCCCTTCGTCGACTCTAATTTTCATGCATCGGTAATTTCGATCCCAGAACACCCCCATCCCCACTCGGAATGGTCCCGGTACGCCACTGGGAGTAACACCTAGTGCTCCTGCGATTAGGAACTCATCTCCTGTAGCTTTTTACATTTTATGTCATTTCTTTCTGTAGAAAAAGTCGGACGATGACTCCTATTCCTCTACAGGACCTGAAAGTAAAACTGAAAAGTCGGAATTAAGGCATGAATCAAGAAACAGAAATGACGAAATGGTAACATGATTAATCCTTTAGCAGCTAATAATTTATATTATTACTGGATTTATTTTTTCTCAATTGTGATTGGCTGCTTCAGCTGCATATAACTACTTGCAAAAAATGTTCTGCACATGCGCATTTCACAAAAAAATTGCTCAGCTGCAAATAATGATCTGCTCATGCGCGTGGGCGAGTGAGGTTTGAGCTGCTTTGAAACTTTATTATATACGTGTATGTGTGTACAACCTGTCGGCGATGACAACTGCATGTAAAGTGCATTGGTGAAGTTCAGAAATCGGTTGTATTTAATTATTATAAAGCAAGGTATTGAGTATACAGTATTATTATCGTCCGTGTGAATTTATATAAAGCTATAAATGGAAGTGGACAAAATGTGCCAAAATATATAACAGAATTAGTACAATCGTTCATGAAATTTTGTCTTACAGAACTAGATGTAATATTTCAAATCCGACTATTCGGACTGGACTAGATTTCAAGTTCGCACAATTTCGAGGCAAAGCAGAGGACTGAGTCAAATTGCAAGGACTTGAAATCTAGTCCAGCCCGAATTGGAGGATTTGGAATAACATCTCAAACGAGTGAATCACTACATAATGTGAGGTGAATTAATTTTGATCCATGCAGTCCAAGGACTGAATTAATTTTGATCCAGTCTAGGACTGGACCAATATACTTCACCAGGTATCCAGTATTATCATGTGAGCAAAATAAAATAATATGGCTGCATGGATAATTTCCTCATGGATTATGAATGAGTTTGAGATGTAATATTTCCCTTGTAAAAAATTGGAGGAAATACACTTATTCAGCAAGACTGAAATATTACTAATTCCTGCGAATATAAATCCATACGGCTGCGCATGGGCTTTGATTTTTACAGTAATTTCCCACATTGTAACAATATCAAAACTGTACAATATATGCTATCAAACCTAATAAACTATAAGATACTCACTTCTTATGCGGAAATGCATAATTTGTAATAAGTGATTCCCATGAAGTGAAAATCCGTACGGCCGTACGTGGGTGTTGATTTTTACAAACACAATATAAGATAAAATTGTGCAATAATATAAAAACTAAAAGACCAAGAAAAACTCACTTTTCCGAAATTTAGGGTGTCCTAAAATATCTACAATATCTTTAACATCTACTACATCTTCCATTACTAAATAATTCTACTACTTTTATTTAAAACTATTCAAACATTCGTTGTTACTCTGAGTTTCATGCCCTTAGGCAATCTTCAGACAACTAAAAGGTTCCGTTAGTTCAACTATGTTACAATATATATGTTACAGTCTGTAAGAACAGGATGTAACATAATGTGCCAGTATTACTGTTAGTTACACAATGTCAGGGTTTCCAAAAGCAGGCGGCATCCGGCGATTTTCGCCGTTTATATCGTAGACAATCGCCAGCTATTTCTAAGGATTATAAACCAAAACATTTCCTCCTTACCAAAGAAATGTCAAGGAAAAGATTTCTTGCTTTTATAACATAAATTTTACATGATATTCTTCGCTAAATATTTGGATATGACAAGATCTATAAAACTAGTCTCCAAAAGAATGGCTGGAAATGCTATTTCATGCAGGTGGTCTAAACTCCAAAATCTTCATGGTGAACCCCCCTTGGTCGAATCCCCCTTGGTCGAATCCCCCTTGGTCAGGTACCTCAGCCCCACATAGCCACCTACTTCTTTCAAAAAGCCTCCTATATACTCCAAATTCTATTGGGAACTGTGCAATGTTGTCATCAGTTCTGTTGAATGCTGTTAAAGAGCTTACATGTTTATCGGTGTTGGTATTGCATGCGGAGAGTATAAGGGTTCTTGCAAAAACATTAAGTGGACACGTTGCAAAGAAACCTTAACATTTTTAAACTACACTGTTTTTAGACTGGTTTGGCCAACATGCATGTATAGTCATAATGATTATATAATGATAATTACGACCATGTTTATAACATGAATACATACTGCATGATTATGATTCAATAAAATCATTAATTTATCTTGGAATTATCCAACACCAAACAGACAAGACGAATGTTTTAATACAGATATTGAAAGGGGAAATGTGTTGAGACAAAATATGACAGAGACTCAAACGCGGGCAAACACAGGAAGTTTGGTTAATAGGAAAGCTGCTGATCCCGTGGGTATAACTATAGGACTGCTATAGATACAACATAATATAATGGTGTAGTAAATATGGGCTAATGGTCTATTGAAAAGCTGGAAGGCTGTCACAGAATTTCTAGCAAGGAAGCTAATTTTGTTGGTACATAGGGAAAATTGCCCTTATCATGTTCTATAAATATAGATCATGGATTGATGTACATTAATATGGAAACTGCGGATACAACTACCTGAAAAATACAAGGAGAACTTCGATGTTTCGAGCGAAGACCCCTCGTCGGGAACGTAGTAATTTCCTTCGCTCGAAACGTCGAAGTTCTCCTTGTATTTTTCAGGACAAGGTAGTTGTATCCCTACCAATCCGCAGTTTCCTGATTATTGGCACTATCTATACTGGTACAGACCATTCGAGTACATTAATTATGACTTCATTATTCTAGAGATATTTGAACATGATTTACCCAGGCGGAATGGCATCAAGTACCAAAGAGACAGCACAATCTAGGACAAATAATGGTAAACCTTGTGTATTGTTTCATCGAGTGTGGCCATAATAGGGAGTTGTGCAGAAATGGTCTTGTTGTGGGAAGAAGTTTACCTATGAAATTTGTCGGCGCATGCATTGGTAGCTGTAGGTCCCTTATAATAGTAGGAGAGGGTTAAAGAAAAATAGGAAGAAACCTCCTCCTAAAAATAACACCTTGTAAACCCAAAATATGAGTTAAGACAATTAACAACTACTCATGCATGTTCAGTAGTATAGTAAAGTGCTATTTTATTGCAGCCAGTTGAATGGTAAGAAAATGGTTAATGATGCTGAAATTTTTATTATTCACACTCTAGCTTTTACAATGTCTTTGCCCTGGATGTATGGAGACAGATCTTATTTGCAGGCCAGTAAACAAGGTAAATGGTTCCCAATCAAAAACCAACTGAACGTTGTAACACGGCAATAGTTTGAAAAAAAAAACACAATGTATAATCAGTGCCATGCATGGGAAGTGGGGTGATGGAGATGGCATAGGTGAGACATGAGACCTCCCAATGAAATGGTAAAAGGACCCTTTTTCCTAGTTTTGCATGTTCCATTTACATGACTACCAACTACTTTCTAATTACGTTATAAATGGCTGCAGTACTGTACCTATCTTACCGAAAAAAGACTACACGGGTACGTTTTGCTCTATGAAGCTTTGCTCTAAAAAAAACACATTGTTATACTATATATATGGTAACACCCTGGGCACGAGTGGCACGGGTATCAACAACTCCATAGTCTCCACTCAGATGAGTTCCAAGCTATTGCAAAGTATATAGTCATCCAGCCAGGTGGCCGGGGTGGCATGTGGCCACGCCACGGGTGTTTCGCATGTACATTTCCTTTATTCTAATTTGTTATATATGGCTTGGTTTGCGAGCGGTTCGTATCGCGTTTCCTTGCAGTTATCTGATTGGTTTCTCAACGGTCATCACAAAACGATCATTATCAAATCATCAAAAATTGTAAAGTTGCGTTTCAAGCTAGTCGCAAGTAAACTGAGAAACAGGAGACAGTGCAACTGTTTGAACATTGCGTTGACGTAACGTCCTCGAAACAACAACCTTTTACTTGTCTGCTCGAGCGAGTCCAAATATCGTTCCAGTGATCGATCGACTTCGACTAAACTACCGTCACCTCAACATTTTTAACAACTAAAAGCCAAGTCATATCATCGCTAGTTTCTTAACCTTGTTTGTTCAGTCTTTGCGGAAAAATTATTCTGCTGTTGCTGTTCGCATCTCGGTCTGTACTAATCAAATTATCGCGGACTTGATATGGGATAATTGTCCGTAAAGACTTCACAAGTGGTAAATGAACTAGCACAATATTCCAAAAAGACATGCAAAAGTCATAATATTTGATAAACTCCTCACTAACGTCGCACTCGGTTCATAAGACCATATTCTTTTTATGCAACAGATTTTCAAAGGATCTTTTTGCCCAGAAGTGTTGGCGGACAGAATGAAGCAGTTGTGGAGGTATTAAAAAGCTTTATCAGTTTATCTTCTGACGTTAAATGCGAGTGCAGCTATCGCTTGTCATCGTTAAACACCTGTGTAATTCTAAAAGTTCACTCGCACTTTTCACCTTGACCTGAATGCAAGCGTGCGAAATAATCGATGGCGACTGAGCACGGAATGCTTGCTTCCAGTTGCATTTAATTGTGGTCAAACAACTCACAAGTCACCGCACTGTGGCCAAACAACTCACATTTACTCACACATATTAAACCTTCTGAATGTTTAAAGGCCGGTCGCCATTTTGATAAGTGTATCAGTAAACACTTAATTAGACAATCACAGACTACGTATTTGACCAACAATGCTTGTTGATGTTTAAAAAAGGCGTGGAACTAAACCCATAGGCGAAAACTTTGTTGGACAGGCAAGTCTCTTGAATATGACTTGGCAAAGATCAGAAACACTTGTCAGTAAGCCAAAATCACTAAATTTGAGAACAATCACGAGAAAAAACGTAGCTTTTTCATTTAGTAATGTTTGAGAAGCTCATTTAACTTTTAGTACAGTATAACAGTGAGGTTTTTTGATAACAAACGCGGAATTTGAAACATGAGAGAGAGAAACATGACTTTTGGTCAAAGACTTGTTTTTTCGAGCCCTGCTACCAAGATGATTAGGGAGTTTACGATTCATGACACGGGTCAGCTCGACGACGTCGAGTCAAATTATGCTTGAAATAAGCCACAGGAATTTAACTATGCTGCTTTAATTGTCTAAAGCGTGTTTTAATAATCTTACAAATGTTTAAATTGGCCTAAACTACTCCGATGTTTAGCTGATGTTGTCATTCTGTCAACGTTATGAAACAACTCCCATGTCGTAACGAGCTTTGATATCGCTAGGAAGGCGTGAAAATTACTCGTTTGACGGTGTCCCAAGAATGACAACGCTGTTGAAAAAAACATTTTAATCTACAAATTATTCATCCCTTTTGTCTCGCATGACGTATTTCTTTGTTTTGCAAGCGCGTCGTCGAGCTGGCCGCGTCGTGTGACGTCGACGTCGTAGACCTTAAGCTATCTAATATAAGACAGTCGACACAAGATAGTTGATGTGGGACAAAATTATTAGGGACCTGCAGTCCAGTTCTTTCAACGAGACTGTTCTGCAGACCTAATTTTTAGAGAGTTTTTCCCATTACGTGATAGACTTGTGAGAATGATAAACCTGCCCAAATTTTGGGTAATTTGCTAACTCTTTACAAATTGTTTGCCTTACGAAGGTGATTAATAACACTTTCTTCAGAGTCTATTCCTAGGCTGAGGAACCAGTTTAGACATAAATAAACGCATCAGCTGTATAGTATTCCCAATCAATAAATATAAACGGTATTATTCGGACTTGTGCGAGAACTCGCTATAGTCGCACGCAAGATAATTATGAAGAAAAGTTCATACTGGTAGTCTAATTTCTAATTTTATTTGTGACTCAATTCCTTGTTTTGCAAGGTACGCGTTGTGCTGCGCATGCTCAACGTTGCTCACCGCCATTTTATACGAAATTGTTTGCCATGAATATAACTGACAGGAATGTTCTTGAGGTATTTATTTAATTGTATGGCTTCGTATTTTTCAGTATTCCTCTGTTGAATTGATTGAGATAGCGAAACTAGCCTTGAAAAACGGAGAGTTGGAGATTGCAGAGAAACACTGCTCTAAGGCCATACGAAAACAAAAGTTAGAAAATGTCCCAAGTGAAAAGATCTGGGAGCCTTATCTCTACTTGGGAGAAGTCCTGGAAAGAAAAGCTGCAAAAGATGACGTCGAGTTACTGCAGAATCAGAGACTCCTTCTTCAAGCTGCAGCATTATTCAATTTCACAAAAAACTGTGCCAAGAGAGTTATCATCGAAAGCGACTTTTCGGTTGAAATGATGAAGAGGATCTCTCGTAAACTACTGGACATCCAAGACAACTTAGTGTTAGTGGTTGGAGGAAATCCCCTCCGATGTAATTTCGATCCAGAAAATAACAAGAAGGATTTGGAACAATTACGAAATGAGGTAAAAGTTTGTTTAGGATCCCTAAACTGTGATACAAGCCCAGAAGTCCAAGAAGTGAACCAGGAAGATCTGCGAAACAAATTTGTGGAAGAAACGGCCGAGATTAGAAATTTGTGTAGAAGAGTCTCATCAAGAGTGAAACAATTCTTAGCAAGAATCATCAAAGGATGCATCGACGTCTTGGGAGATCCGCCGTGTGATTACGAAGTTATTGTTCTTGGGTCTTTAGCGCGGGACGAAATGACGCCATACTCAGATCTTGAATGGGCCATATTAATAAGTTCGGAAGAAGATAAGTGTAAAGTTTTCTTCCGTAATTTAACCAACCTGGTTCATTTGCAGGTGAGTACTGTAGTGGAGGTGTAAGTGAAGTAGAAGCTGAACGAGAAGTGGAAATGAAAGTGGAAGCTAAAGTGGAAGTTTATCTGAACGCGGATATGGAATATGAATTAGAAGTGAAAGTGGTAAATGAAGTGAAAGTAGAGTGGCGCGGTGGAGCGAAGCGAAGGAGCCCGGCGAAGGGGTGCAGAGGGCAGAGATAGAAGCGAAGAAGAAAAAAAAGGGGAGGTGTGGAAAAGAATAAAACAAGAATAAACGATAACAGGCCGAATATTTTCTTAAAGAATGTGTGTCAACCTCATTGTTATTTTTCACATCTTACCTTGGGAGTGATTCAATAGCAACAAATGACGATGAAAGATATTTCTTTGTTGCAGTTTCAGTATAAATAAATTAAAATGAGCAAGTATACCCATAGGATGGTTGAAGTATATTATGGATTTAAAACAGAAACCTCTATTAGTCGGCCATTAAAATGGACGCGAAGTAGGTTTGAGCGTGGAAAGCATGACGGTTGACACATTTGTCTGTTGTACTGTAACTGACATCATAGTTCAGATGTTATGAATGGCATTGCAAGCCAAACTGGACAAAATTGTATCGAACACTCTAAGTGATGATCAAGAAATGAGAGTCATAGTTGAAAACAGTCGCTTTTAGATGAGAATTAGATTAGATTACGATTATTCAGCTCACTCCCCATCGGGGCTTTTCAGTGACCGATTACACTAAGTATTACGCTAAACTTATTTATAATACCTATACTTAGCCTACACACGTAAAAACGCTCAGGTTGATGCAATATTGATGAAAACAGGATTGAACACTGCATGTTTTGCTGCCAACATTGTTCACAATATTGTTACCCGTTGTATAAAAAAGTGATTAAAGTTAACTGTAGTTAGTGGAAACGTCATCCAATAAGAAGCGCGTATTTGAGAGTTAATCACTATTTAACTACAAAATAGTGATTAAAAAAGTGATTAAGAGTTTTATACAACCGGCCCCAACTATCACTTAACCCGCCATATTGACTGCCACTGACAAATTATTTTCATAACCAGAAATACATGCATCCAGCAACCCCTCGCCTATATTTTCCAAACATTGATTTGACATGAAGTATTAGTAATTGGCCAACACTGAACGCAGACTCGCGTTGTACGTCAAATGTTGCCATAGCAACACGATAACACAGAATAAGTCCACAGAAAGCCGATGGGTTTTATGGTTGGGAAGAGTTCTGCTAAACCCAGTTTGAAGTTGCACTTGTTGTGCCTTGGAATGCAGCCGTTGTATCAATACGTGAAAATATGTGATTTGGCGTTGTAAACAGAGCGAGGACAATGTCTAAATTATTCATTTATTGTAATTACTCAATTCTTTTCAATGATCTATTGTATTGGTAGCGGTTGCCGTCGCGTTGCCGTCCTAAAATCGTAAGGTCTCTAATATTCAAAATGGCGGACGTCCGGGGGGGTGTCTCTCAAACTCGCACTGGCTAGGACCATGGCGTCACCATTTTGATGATCAATCATGGCGTGGCAGCGGGTAACTATACAAGAATGAATTTCCGAAATGTTTACTGTAGGTATGTTATTTTGCATTTTATGAGCTTTGATTGAATATAAAATTTAATCTGAAACGCTTCGTAGAATGTTTTGACATGTTCATTCAACTAAACTGCTTTTGCAGATAAACTACAAAATGACCCGATTATTGTTTACACATTTCTCGACCATCGCCTATATTTTTCTCGAATATCGTTTGGATTTTTCTCAATCGTCGCTGACACTGTTCTCGCCTATCGTTTACGCTTATCTCATTCTCAACTATCGCTTACACTTCTCGATCATTACTTACAGTTATCAATAGACGTTTGTCAAGTTTTGCTTGCCATACGAAGGCATGCCTTAACATACCTGCGTACATGTTTGAAGCGTTGAACCAAATTAACTGATTTTTATTGCAGATAATCAACCTTGGAGAAACCATCTTACCCAGCATGGGTATCAAAGCATTGAGTGGCGAGTGGTTTTACGATGATGTAACTCCGAGGGGAGTGTCCTTCGATGGATTACTCCCTCAAGCATGTAAGACCCCATTGGGAAACATGAAAGATTTTGAGCTAATTCACAGTCCAGCAAACATGGCAGATTTCCAGAACAACTATTGGCATAAGAAGAATCCCGGCTTAGGAGAGATTCTGTTAACTGTTGCACCACTGGAGTCTGACAAACACAAAATGATTGACCATTACAGAATGAAGCTGGAAAACATTTTGAGTAGTCCTTGTGACTCAGACGACTGCCACTACCATGTTCCAAGCAGCAAACATACCAGCCGTGGAGCTTGCAGAGGAATGAGTGCGCTTCGAAAAGATTTTTCGCGTTACGGAAAAATGCTACCTAGCCTCGACAAGTCACGTGAAGACGGAAAGTTGTACGATGTTAAGAAAGACATTTATCGGTTGACAGATCGTGTAATTGCAGGGCTTGCAAAATGTTTCGGAATTAGGGGCAACGGAGCTTTTGAGATACTTGATGAGCTGGGAAAGAAGAGAATAATTACATCCAACGGCAGGGAAAATTTAGCAAGTGTTGCGGCAATTGCCCTCAAACTTAGAATGAGTACCTATCTTGAAGCTGGAAAACAGGGAGAGCAAATGAGAGCAAATTCCAGTGAAGAAGAGAGCGCAAGGGAAACCAGATCATTTTATCATTTGCCGAGCGAGGAAGAACTTTTTCACTTTTTCTTCATCGCAACCCCTTTGTATGACGAGCTGAGACGATCTTTTCTGTTAGACGAAAATATCCCAGAATCGTTTCCAAAACAGGCGTTCTTCAACTGTTCTGACGCCGTCAAGGGGCACATTTACTGTCGGATCCTCAAATACGACGAAGCTCTTCAATGTTACGAACGTGCGCTTGAACTAAACCCTGAAAATATCGAACTGGAACTTCGTCAAATTGATGTCCAGCTCGCAAAAGATAGAAGCGCGGAAACGGCAATCTTGATAGAAGATAAACTTGAAGCTTTATTTCGTAGAATGTGCCAGAAGTGCAATCTTCCAGACGGAGATGTGGATCGACGTGGGCACTATGTTCCAAAGGTCGACGACTCTGCCAAGTCTCTGCAAAGTGACGACGCATGTCAATTACTAGACATCTTGTGTTATATCTATGATTTTCATGTGTCCCAAGGGAATTTCGAGTTGGCTGGGAAGATTTTTGATCAATGTATGTCGCTAGGAAACGCGGAGAGAAACGATGAGTTCAAGCTGTCCTTGATGAATTTCGCGTTTTTAGAAATGTGTGAGCAGCTTGATCAAGAACAGTTTGAAAGAGTCACTTCTGTTTTGAATAAGACGATAGAAGAGGAGGGAATTAGCACGTGTAGCATTGTCTACTTAAACGATCTGGGTGGATCTCTCTTGGTTCAAGGAAAGTATGAACAAGCTTATCAGTCTTTACAACGAGCACTCACAATGGAGCGTACTCTTTATGGTTCTAATTTCAACCCACAAGTCAAGACAACGTTGACTATGCTTGGAGTTATATCAGTACGTTTACGAATGTACGAGGAAGGCAAGATTTACTACGAACAGTTGTTACATTTGTGTGAATCACTGAGCGTGCCAGGCGATAGAATGCTAATCAGAGAAGCACATCTGTGTTTAGCATTCCTCTGTGCCCAAACTAACCGTCACGAAGAAGCTATATCCAACTTTCAGGAAGTCATAGCACTGTTGACGAAGGGTACATACGAAAGAGAGTCCCTTTATGAATGTGTAGCCCACATCCAAATAGCGACTTCGTGGCACGCCTTGGACAAAAAGGAAAAGGCTTTAAAATCTGCCTTGGATGGGAAAGAATGTTTGACAGGTATCGCCGGCGTAGAAATGAGAGTAGATTTAACTTGTGCCGTCGCTGAGGCCTTCGCAGGAATTGGAAGACACAAGGAAGCGATGTTACTGATAAAGAATGGACTCGAGGAGCTCGATGCAGAGCTAGACCTGAAACACAAAGCAGAGTATCTGAAATTTCTTGGAGAGGTGTCCGTACAGCAAGGCCTCGCCTCTGACGCGGAACATTACTACAAGGAAGCCCTGGAGATCTTAATGATCAACAAAGAGAACACGTCCGCCATCGTGGACTGTCTGTTGGAGCTTTGCAGCATACTGCTTGAGAAAGGTGAGTCATCCGACGTCAGAAGCAAGTTGGATGAAGCTTGGAAATATGCTTCGAATGTGACAGACGATAGTAAAATGTGCATCTATATCAGAAAGATTGGAGAATGCTGGGAGAAGCTTGGGGATGTCAATGAAGCTCGAAATTGGTATAACGATGCACTCGCATCAAGTGTTCTGATAAATTTCCCACTGTTTGAATTTGACCTGCTCGTTAAGCTGGGGGACTTGACGAAGCTGTATTTAAGCTCTACTTCAATCAATTCTGATATTTCAGTGTCATTCGAACAGAGTCAGAAAGCTCAACGAATCCATTATGATCGTGCTGGTAAGGTACTCCGTAGTCATTCTTCATCCGGCAATGTTAATTTCATGACCATCCAGCGGTTCGTCGCACTGGCCTCACGATATAGCTCAATTGATTCAGCAGAGGAAGAGAAGCTTCTTTTTGACGCTTTGAAAATTAGCGATGCAATATTAGCAGCTGACACAACCTGTGAGATAGTAGCTGGAATTTTGACTGGACTGTCGGATATTAAATGGTTTACAGGGGATTACGTATCCGCTTCAGACTTCTTGGAACATTCGTTAAAAATGGAAATGGAATTACATTCATCAGATCGATACCATCCACATATCCCTGAGCTACTTTATAGGTTATCTCGCCTTCATTTGAAAAATACAGGTCGTGAGCAATTGGGAGAGGCAATCCAGCGTGTTCTTGAATTCCTCGAGGCCCACCAAGAAGAAGAGGTCTTCCCTAATACTGTCGCTAAGGAGAATGCTGCAGTTTGTCTCTTGTCAATGAGAATTTTATACTTGTCCTTGGAGGACGTCAAAAAAGCCAACAGTGCACTTGAAATGGCAAATAAAATTTTAGAAGAAATCAGAGAAGATAATTCTCCCAAGGATAATACAATGCATACGATTACTCGTGAGACAAGCGTTCAATATCCGAAATTTCTAAATAATAAAGAGTTGGTTTCCACGGTTCTTATACCACTATTCTTTCCCTATGCCACTGAATTGCTACTTGACGAATCATCACTGACTGGGGAAAATCTTATTTCCATCTTTAGTGACTTAGACACTTACACTGATAGAACTGAAGTGAATACGCATGGACAGCCACAAGAACGTTTAAGTGATACGAACACGCATTCCCAAAACCCTAAAATTGCAACATTGCTCTCAGCCGCCGATTCCTTCCGTCCGTACCTCTGTACAACAAGAAACAAAGGGTCAGAGACGACGACAGCAGGCTGTGATGAAAAACAATGCAGGGATATTCAAAGTTTTCAATCAAAAATCGACTCTTTATCTGTGTTAGCGGAATTTGTCAATTGCGATCTAAAAAAGGGAAATATTCAACAGGCCTCCAAGACTATCAAGGATTCTTTCGATCCCTTTGTTGTGTCGCTCATTGAACAACATTGCCCTGGCAACATCGAGCCTGCTGAATTTCTCATTAATGAAGCCCTTAAAGCGAAGGAAAACTACGGAACAATGATGATGTTGGTATATTTAAATTTGGCTGACAAGTTTCCATCTAAATCTCAAAGAAAAGCCAAAATATGTAAATTGCGAGGAGAATGCAATCTGTCAGAGAGAAATTACCGAATAGCAGCCATCAGTTTCTTTGACGCGGCTGGATTTTTTTATACGGACACAACGTCAGACCCTGATGCTCATGTTGAACATATAAAAGTTTTGATTGACTTGGCAAAGAGTCACGTACTTTGCAATGATGTTGAAAGTGCCTGGATTGCTTGTCAAGACGGTCTGGGTTTAATATCCACGCTGGAGTCCGGAGCGATAAAATCTCGTCTGAAAACAGAGTTGTTCTTGATGGGTGCTAAATCTTTGATTCATCTGGGAACTGAAGACTGCGAATTTGATAAAGCAGTATCGTTTTGCCAACAGGGACTTGCTGCTAGCAAGCTAATGGGCTGCAGCACAAGGACAGAGCTATGGGAGTTTTTCGCGTTAAATTATAGGATCCAGAAGCTCTTGGTTACTGCCCTTTCACGTCTAAATAAATTAGACGACTCACGAAAGATGATGGAAAAGATGATTCAGTTCTTGAGAGACATAGCTGATACTTTCGAAATGACTTCGGATGGCATAGCAACAGACAATGATGATGTCGAGTCTCTCGAGATATCTCGTCGCCTCTACTCCTGGATGGGACAGGCCCTGGTAATATCTGGCGAAGCAAATGATGCTGTAATCTGGTTGACAAAGTCATTGTCAGCATTCTTCGCACTTGGACTCCCAAATACCATTCCCGAAGAGGAAGAGTTCTTGGCCTTATTAGATGCAATCACTGCTACCAAAGCAGTTGTCCCACAGGTTGATTACACTCCGTTTGAACAGACTATTGAATTTTGTATGCAAAAGTTACAAGACCAAGACGACGACTTTAATGTACTTTTGAGATTTTTTGAGTTTTTGGGGCAACTCTATGTTGACCGTGGAAGAGATGAAGAAGCAATCATGCTATATGAGAGGGCGTTGGCAGTCATCGAGTGCATGGGGAATTCTAATGATGCAATGGATATTCGTGTAATGATAATAGTGTACCTTGCTCATAGCCATAGACGCCAAGCAATGAAGAACACAAAGAAAAGTACGGCCGAGGAATGTGCATTAGCTGAGAAATATTATCAAACTGGTCTGAAGATGACAGGAGACTTCGCAGTTTTTAAAGTTAGCTATGCTAGTTATATTTGCGATCAAGGGCGTTTCGCAGAGGCCAGTAAAGTGCTTGAGGAAGTAGCTGCAGTGGGTCAAACTCTATGGGATATGCAGATTACCTGTTCCTATTCGTCGCGCATCATTTGCAGTCCAACTGTGAAAAGGTACATCGAAGATCACGGTGAACTCGTCACAACTGCAGGGATCCTGGCATACAGTACACTCGTTCGCGCGTTTGTCGGAATGGGAAAGAAGAGAGAAGCAGCAGCAGCCTGTGAGAAGCTGTCAATGAACGGTGAAGAGATAGAAATCTTTACCAAACGTCCTCCATTCATGCCATTCCTGCTTGGCGCCTGTCACAAAGCGTTGTTATCTCTTGTTGACGATCAGAGTTGCTTGCAATTTCAGAACGTGGTGTTTCCATTGTCTGGAAGTAATGTCGCAAAGCTGTACCGTGAACTAGACGTGTACGAGCCAACGCTTGAGTATTGCGAGAAAGTCGGGTCGTCAGCTGCACCGTTGTCAAGTGAGCCAGCCGGATCTTTGGACAGCACTTCATTAACACTTTCTTCATCGTGTTTATATGGTAATGCTTTGGTGGAACTGGGGAAAGTGGATGAGTCTCATCCGTTCTTTATCAATTTTCTTGAGCTGCTGCAGAGCAGAGACGGAATTCTGGACAAACCATTTGACACACAGAAAGCCATTCTTGCCCAGTACTCCTTTGCTAATCAATATTACGTTTACGATGCTCTAGGAACACTTATGTCCAGGCGAGGAAACACTGACGGCGCCATTGAATGTTATGAACATTGTTTAGACTTGGATGAGGATTTCAGTTTTGGTCAAGATGTGGTAGCAACCCTTGCTGAGCTTTATCAGGTTAAAGCTTTAACAACACGAAGCGACGACAAGTATCATACACAAAGTGGATCATACACAAAGTGGATGAATACAGCTCAAGCATGCTTCGAGAAGCTACGCCAAAAAACGAGAAAACTCACATCTTTTCTAGAGAGAGCCGTTGGGTCATTCCTTTGCCGACAAGAACGATTCATAGAAGCTATTCCCCACTTCAAAAATGTTCTTGAAGATAATGATGAGACGTTAATCTCGCTTTCAAGCGAAGACAAACCTTTGGTTAGCGTATACCTTGAGCGTGAAATAGGGCTAGGGGTGAAGTTGTTTTACCACTGAAAATCCTCGTTTATTATGAGATTGTTTCCGCCTACTTGAAATTGAATGAAGTCCAGAATGCCCAAGAGTCAGTACTTCAAATGGAGAAACACGTGGCTCTTTTTGAATCAGATCCAGATTATCCTCTCATCCTTTCTGTCTTAGGATACACTCACAAAGAACTTGAAAACAGAAAGAGAGCGGTAGAGATATTTGTTTCTGTTCTGGAGATAAATCCGGGACATGCACCTGTGACAGTTGCCCTGGAAACCTGTCATTGATGGACATCTTCGCAACACCGCGGTCAAACACCAAAATTTGTGTGATAAACTCAACGTTGGCAGATGGTAGTCACAGGTTACATATTCTTTTACCAGAAATTAACATACCTTATTATAATTTAAGATACAATCGTGCTTATAAATTGCTTTTTATTAACACTGGTCAGTTCAAAAATACATTTATTTCGTCGTCTAGTAAACGTGCACAGGACTTGCTTGCCTAATGTATGTATGTATGTATAACTTTGTCATTATCTTCTTTTGAAACGCTCTTTTTAACCAGTTATTAGAATTAATACGTTTCACATTTCCGCTCTCAACAAATATATAGCGTGTGTAAACATATATATAATCAAGGGTGGGTTGACTACAAAATTTTTGTAGTTCGCTATAACTACAGCTACTTCAAAAATATGTAGTCAGCTACAACTGCTGCTACTTTTGAACAAAAGTAGTTCGCTACTGACTACAGCTACTGCTTAAAAAATGTAGCGAACTATTTCGCTATTTCGCTACTCTATATTTTTTAG